GCCCCTCCAAGTCTCAATCTTCTTCTGATTTCTTGGCTACAGTTTGTGTCTGTGTTGGTGACTGAACCAAGGTATTGAAAATCTTTAAGTAGAAAACCTTACAAAGGGATTGCCATAAGTTGGAATCAATGTGACAGCACATTATTATGCTGGTTGGATAGCTAAGTGAGCTGGAGCACCTGGAAAGCATCACCACAATCAGATTCAACTTGCTGACATGCAATTAATTTGTAAAGGTTGGCAATAGCTTCCTTTTTTAGGAAGCTTTGAGAGCCGACTTAAAGTAAATCTTTCCTCTGTTTGGAAGCTCAGGTCCTTCCTATACTGAAGCACCTATAAGTAGGTTACTGAACAAATTCCTACCAGCTGATTTTCTAAGGGTTGGTACTAGAGATGGGGCTATTCGTATACGTAGATGAATACGAATATCCCCCCCGCAGGTGGGAATAACGAGGGGCCAGCCCCATGGGACTGGACTGTCCACTCATTGTTCGGCCACTGCCGCAAGCGCAGCAGAACCTTCCTATAGCGCTGTGCTCCACAATGGATTAACCACTCCGCAACCTGGCAGAGAGGCTTGTCATCCTGCCTCCAGCCAAGAGTGGCTAATCCACTGCAGAGCATGGTGCAATAGGAAGGCACTGCTGTGCCCGCCTACGAATACCCTGCAGAATAAAAGATCTACATTTAGATCAAAGGTGAGTGGCTCGCAGCCTATGGACCCTACACAGCCCCTCCACACCATTTTTGTGGTCCTCAGCACTCCTGCCTCCCACTATTCAACAAAATACTTAGATTTTTTAAAAAATATATATACATATTTTGCCCCAAAATCCCCTTGTACCGTTTATGAGGTGTGGGTGATAATTCTTCCATGTTTTGAGTAGGCAACCAGTCAACTACTTAATTTAAAACTAAAAACACACTAGAGGCTTTTCAATTTTAAAATATTAGCTTTCAATAAATTCATTTTTCAGTTAACAGAAACCCATCATAGCAGCAAATTTATAGTATCTAACTATTGCATGAATTTATTTCTGAAAAATGCAAATTAGCACTGGTCCTCTTGGTCTTCTTCCCTTGATGGTGTGTTGTGCTGCCCCCCCCCGCCCCCAGCACATCAAGAAAATGGCCCTCAGCCCCACTGGGATCATCCACCTATGATTTTAGACCTTGAGAACACTGTCTTTTTTTTCTTTTCGATCAAGGCTGCATTCCTATAAGTCAATGATGAGAGATATGTAACTTCTCTTTAGAATTTGGAAGTTGCTTTTAAAATCAGTGAACATAATGCCATGTCAAAGCCATCCTTAACTGATCAATCACAGGATGATGCTCTGGGATACAGGGTATCTTTCTACCACTGCTCTGTTACAGATTGCTTCTGCCTCTTATTGCACTCATTCATCTTAAAAGTTCTTCAGATGATGGACTACAACTCCCATCAGCCCTAGGCAGCACAGCCAAGGGTGAGAGATGATAGGAACTGTAACAACATCTGTAGGGCCACATGTTGCCCAATCCTTGCTTTGGACAGTCAGGGGTAGCATGCTCAGAAGTAGGCTCAGCTTGCTTTGGACAGTCAGGGGTAGCATGCTACTGGTGAGTAGGCTCAAAATCATTTGTAGGTAGTGCCACTTCTTTCCCACCCAATCCTACCTCTTTCCCCCTTTCCTGGCCCCATAGGTCATTTGTAGGTAGTGCCACTTCTTTCCCATCCAATCCTACCTCTTTCCCCCTTTCCTGCCAGGAGAAACACAACCAGAATTATGAATACAATATTGTTAGAAGTAGTGTAAAATATGAGTTGTAGGTTACTCAACGCTAAATTACAGCTTGAGCCACATTAGCAAATTCAACTTCCTTAAGGAACTGAACCTTCTACAATAACATCTAACACCTGTGTTACTCCCTAGAGAGCACTTATTTTCCCCCACTGCTTGTTTGTTACCCTGGTCAGGATGTAGCAACTCTCAAGGGGCTGTCATGGGGTCTATTTGGGGTAACCAGCCAAAGGACACAAGTGTCTGTGTCTGTACATTACTGTAGCCAAGAATGGCTTACAGATCCAGTTACACCAACTGATCTAATCTTATGAGGTACGTAATAAAAATGACTGCTAATGCAATTTCTAGGCATCTATGCTTGGAAAATAGTGCCATACAGTTCTTAGGAACCTATCCTTTAGTGGATTCAAGTCCACAAAATTGAAAACATAATCGGTTTCTACATCAATAGAATATTACATAATCCTCTACTGTTTGCGTACAAGAGACCAACACAGTAACTCATCTTGAATCCTAGTCACCACGTCTAGGAATACAACGTAAGTCTCATGCAGGGTGGATTTTATTTCAGTCAAATTTATTTGAATCAAATCAAGACGTACCTCCCCCATATGAACCTGTTCAGGTGCAATAACCAATTCTGAAACCTTCTTCCAAGCCCATCTGCCGTTAAATGTACAGTAAGGTAAAGGTAAAGGTTCCCCTTGACATTTTCAGTCCAGTCGTGTCCGTCTTTAGGGGGCGGCGCTCATCCTGTTTTTCAAGCCACAGAGCTAGCGCCTGTCCAAAGACAGTTTTCCATTGTCACGTGGCCAGCGTGACTAGCGAACGCCATTTTACCTTCCCACCGAGATGGTACCTATTTATCTACTCGCATTTACATGCTTTCAAACTGCTAGGTTGGTGAGGAGCTGGGATAAAGCGACAGGAGCTCACTCCGTCGCGTGGATTCGATCTTATGACTGCTGGTCTTCTCAACCTGCAGCACAGGATTCTGCGGTTTAGCCCACAGCGCCACCATGTCCTTTCAAAACATACAGTAGTGGGCACTAAACAGTGGGTTTTTGTAATTTATTTATTTATTTATTATTTATTTTAAATATTTTTATCCTGCCTTTCTCCTTAAAAAGAACCCAAGGTGACTTACGTACGGTAATTAAAAAGACAATTACTGTATTTAAAAGCTAAAAACAGTAGGTATATAAATATTTTAAAAGAATTAAACAAGTATTACATTAAAAACAGTAATAAAATCAATACTGAAACACATTTAAAACAGAGCATAACATCTATTTAAAAACCCCTCTCAGACTGCCAGTAATTAAGGGAAAGCTTGCCTGAATAGATGACACCCAGAATTAGAACAGCCACTCAATATAAGTCTGGCTTAGTCAACCACTGTTCATCTTTCAACAAGGAGCTAAGACTTTTTCAATTATCTTCTTCTACTACCTCTCTTGGTTGTCTACTATTACTCGCAACTGAGAATTGACAATGGCTGATTGTGACATTATGACTGTTTCTTTATTATTATGATCCTGTTGATGTTTTATGACAGCTTTTATTGTGGATTTACTGATCTAGGCATTTCCAGCCATCTATATTATTTCTATATGGAAAGATAGGATATAAATGTCAGATCTAGAATAGTGGTGAAGAGTTTGAAAATTCATTCCATGTTCTTCTGAGAAATCCTTGTCTACATCCTGCAAATCACCCAGAGATGTACCAGCAGGGTTAAACCTATGTCCAGCCCATTCTGATCCAGAAGCTTCCACATGCTTTGTTAAAACCAACACAAAAACAAGCCATTGCTTAGTAATGATGTCATGGAGCAGAAAAAGCTTAAACATCTATCAAACCACAGGCATTTCCCACATACAGAGAGAAGTGACAAAGATATTCTACTATCAAAAAGCTGTCCCCAAACTAACAGAGCATATTAGTAAAACATGCAAATCCACAAAACAGTGGCCCCTTGAGATCAACCTGCACACATTAAGTTGACTATCAATGTACAAACTGTTCATTCCTATGGTACTGGTAGAATTTTAGTGTTTATCTTTACATACCAATGGAAGGTCATCTCAGAGTTCCCATTCACCTAAAAAGCTGGTAGGCATGCTGAAAAGGAGTAGAAAGTAGATAGATAGATAGATAGCAACTATTTCAGCAACATTTATAAGAAGCACTGAAAGCAAACAGAAGACGACTATAAGAGAGCTTTCTATAAAAAACAAAAAAAGTACCCAGAAAAATTAGCAAGACAATCGTCCCAAGCAATCCTGCGGCATCCCTCCCTCCAATAGAATGAAACAGAATTGCAGGCGTCAGAGAGCTTATTTTTCATTGTGAAGTTTTTTTTTGGGGGGGGGGGGATGATAGCAAGGACAAAATATAAAGTGTTACAAAGAAGAAACAAAAATCAAATGCTCAAGGTAACTGGCCAAGCATTATTAAGAAAGATTAGAGGCTACAGAAAAGAGCCAACACTAGGATGCTACAACTATAAAAGTAAGTGCTGTTTTGCTCTGCATGGAAAAGAACATTTTGCTCAGAAGTCAAGTAATGGTGTGACTCCTACTCCATACCAGCAAGTCAACAAAAGTCTTCAACTTTTCTAGATCTTTAAACCTGCAACCTTGGATCCACTTTAAATTATTGCTATCCAATTCCCGTTTTCCCAAAAATAAGACCTAACTTGAAAGTAAGCCCTAGTATGATTTTTCAGGATGCTCGTAATATAAGCCCTACCCCAAAAATAAGCCACAGTTAAGTGAAACCCTGCCCTCCACCATTGTGCAGCAACCATAAGAAGATGGCATGACTGTATTTGAATAAATGTAGATTGTTCTACGGTACATGGGGGGAAATCCCCTGAAAATATGCCCTAACGTGTTTTTTGGAGCAAAAATTAATATAAGACCCTGTCTTATTTTTGGGGAAACATGGTACTACAACATTACCCCTCTTTCTCTCCATAGCAGCTTCTTGTTTTTCTGCTTTTTATCTGTCTTTCCTGGGAAGATTTCCACTGCAGACATGCTTCGTAATTCTTTGTTTGAAGCAATGGGAAACACATTCCGTGATGCTACGTGATGCTACTTAATGTCATTCAGAAGAAACTACTGTACTTTTAACATTATGCAAACTGATTTTGCAAATCATCATCAAAAACACAAATAACTCCAGTAAGTGTGGACAACGTATTACCTTTGATAACAAATGCTTCAGATAGCAGCCGCAGCATATACAAAGGCTTCTTTTCTACAACCATATCCTCAAGACCAGCTCTCACATACATGCTAAGAACATCTCTGTAAGAACCCTCCACATAATGGAGCTTTGCTAGGATCAACATTGCTTCTGTCATGTCTTTTGGCTGGTGAAAAGGAAAAACAACAGACTGTCAATGATAATGATAATGAAATGTAATGATACATACAGTGTGACTGTTTTGCTTCAGAATTCGATTTGTACCAAATAGTCAAGCACATTCATATACACTTCTTGTGAATCTTGATTGATATATTGAGAAGTGCTTAGCAAAGATTGCTCCATTAACTGAGTGAAATGCACACATGGATCTCTTTCTTCCACTGAAATTAATGAGGCAGCTGTTAAGAATGGGGATTTCTCGAGATCCAACAAAGATGGAAACACTTAAGTAATTAGTGGCTAGTGGGAGAAGTCTTTTTTGCCCCTAAGTGCAGTTTGGTAACAACACTGCATCATGACATTATGTTTTCATACTGGGTCCTTCCATAACAAATGGAAACACCATCAAGCTAACTGAACTACCTCTCTAGTAGCTACAGCAGTAGCAACTTTCTTTTTCTAGTTTAAGAAAGTAAATAACAGGGCAAAGAACAAAACCACCTGCTATGTCCTAAATACAGAGATCTCGCTACCACAAATGCACATATTTTGTTATCTCCATCTAAGAGGCACCAAAAATACCCCCACACCTTTGCAGAGCACAAATGGGGGAGTGATGGCTGACAGTATATCCCTCTTTTGCATGGATGCATGAGCTTTAGCACTTGTGATCTCACTTTGGTATTAGTATATATGATGCAGAAAGTTTTAATGTATTGACTCCTAATGAAGAATGGTGTGGGGTTTTTCCTCTAAAAGAAAAGCCCTGCAAGAAGGAAGAAAATAGCACATTTCCTGGGCTCATTAAGAAACACAGAACCTGTGAAGAAGAAAATAATAATAATGTTGAAGGAGCCCATAATTTTGTTATCCAAGCTTTGTAACTATACATCATTAGCAGCATCTGAAACATTCATATTTTTCTTTCTGTTAAGGATGCTTACCGGCAATTTCCCTTGATTCAGAATTCCAGTCAAGTGCTTTTTAGCATCGCTCATTTTGGGCTCATTTTTTTCCATTAATGGAATGGCGTCTTTGATTTTGGCAAGGTTCTCTTTCAAACACAGCTCCAGCAGTGCCTCTGCAACTAGCAGATTCCCATAGTCTTCTGTAAGACACAGTGAATGGAATAAAGAAAAGTTTCACACAGTGTCATGTTCCCATACATAGCAGGCCACAAAGATAAACGTCAAATCGTAGCCACTGTATAAACATTTCCTTACTCAAGGAAGTTCTAACCCTGAGTGCCAAAGATGGAAAGCCTGCATGATTCTCTGTTAACTAGGAAACTTTTTATAATTCTCTCATTTTGCCCATTAAATGTGATCTGGACCGTTTTTACTCCTATTAATATGAGTTTTGCATTATAAATTTCCTTAAGATATAAGAGAGGTATAGAAGAAATCATGTATAGTACTAAACACTCTATTTTTTAAAATTCCATTATTTATTTATTTTATATGCTACCTTTCTCCCAGTTAAGTAACTAAAGCATATTTTAGCTACATCAGCTGTCTGTCATTCTAAGAACCTGGGGAATGCCAAATATTGTGGTTTGGTTCCAGATTCAGATTTGTGAGAAAGACAAATAAATGGATCAAATCTGCCTCCGAGAGTAGACTTTTAGTTTAGATGGGTAGGGCAGAAATTTAAATGAATGAATGAATGAATACAAACTGACCCTAGAAGCTCAAATGACAAAATTGGGGATTTAAATCAAATCATGACTCCATTCTCAAATGCATTTCAGTTAGAAAAAAATGAAGCCTACTTTATCTGGATCTGCTTACTTATCCTTTATTTACAAATTCCTGTCTATACTTCTTGAGCGTTCTTCTGATGTCTCATTATAAAATATAAAGACAAAAACATGTAAAACAATTATAACTACAGTAACACAGCAGTCTACCGTATAAAAAGTATGAACCAGCTTCTAATAATAGCATCAGTTAGCATCAGCCATCAGAAAAGTCATCCTAAACCAGCAAGTTTTTGTCAATTTCTTGCAAAACAGGCATCCCTAGAAAGAAGTAACAAGGAATCTTTGGTCTTCCAGATGTTTTGATCTTCATCTTCCAGAAGCCTAGCTAGAAAGCCAAGTGTAAAGGACTGACGACACAGTAGTCCAAAGCACTGAGAGGGTCAAAGTTTCTCTTCCACACTTCCAGAAAAAGAAGTCCAAATTACTGTTCATGGACATGTTACACACAACTAAGATTTCAGTCCGTTACCTGAAAATAATTCTGACTGAAAACAGGACAATTTATTTTTGAGGAGTTTACACAGGATTAGACTGTGATGTTGGGAAAATGTGAAGGCAAGAGGAGAAGGGGACGACAGAGGATGAGGTGGTTGGACAGTGTCATCGAAGCTACCAACATGAATTTGACCAAACTCCGGGAGGCAGTAGAAGACAGGAGGGCCTGGCATGCTCTGGTCCATGGGGTCATGTAGAGTCAGACACGACTAAACGACTAAACAACAACAGACTTACATTTATATCCTCAGTTAAAGCCATGTTTGCTCAAGCTCCAAAAAATAGCCAAATTAGATTTAATTTAAAGATGCAAAGATGGCAAATGACACACTCCTGGAAATGACTGTACCATTTCTTACTGATGTATCATATAGCTATATATGTTCACCCTAGTAAAACCTTGTTGAACTGAACGTTAGTACAGTAGGGAGAAACATTTACCCTTCATTTTCTCATTGATTTGCTAGCATTTTATTGTCGGGTGAGTTGTAGTTTTAGAACAGGATAGTAAATGCAACAAAATGTGCTGTCTGAAACGGTGCCCTCTTTCTAGGAGTGCTTCTACTGCTTATTTCAAGTGTTCCTTGGGCTGTAATTCCAAGAAGCCAAGGAATGTTGCATTGCCACTAGGGAAACTATCTGAGCCACTATGATTGCGGAGGCAATGATCTTAACTCACCAACAGCACAGGGACAATCAAATGTAGTATGATTTTGGCTTTGATTCACTGCAGCAATATATCCTATAAACACAAGCAGGAAGGACAGATTAATGCAGCCTCTTAAAGAAGGGCTCTGCTCCGATGGAATTACCTAAGCAAATTCAAAGTGATTATTTGCAGATACAGAAAACTCTCTTGCCCACAACAGCCTCATTTTCATGGAAAGGACAAGACTAACCATACAAAAGCCAGAGTTTGGAAGAGTTGTCTTTTTATATATATAGGGACTGACACATGTTTTTCCCATTTTTTCTGTCTTGCATATAGCAGTGCATGGACATAGCAAGTATGCATGCATGCTTCTGGCTAGGGCCTCCTTGTCAGTTTAAAATTGGCTGTATAACCCCTTCAGAAAAACAAAATGGCTCCCTGGCCCTGCTTTGAAGCAGAAAGGACAAGCTTGCACCTGGTGAAAATTTTCTTCATCCCAGACCCTTTTTTAAACTGAAAGCTCTTTTCGATTTAAATTATATGATGTTCTGTGATATGACTAAGATAAACATAGCTGTACGATGTCTCCAAAAGCTGAGGAAGAGAGACCACATAATCTTTTCTTCTTGCCTCTTCTTTTTCTACCTCAGCTGTGCTGCTGGGCAGGCAAAGATGACTTAACAGGATATGAAAAGATGAATCATCTCCACTCACTCAATCTTTCTCTCTTTCCAGCCACCTCCCTGAGGAGATAAACAGCCTTAAAAGAAAAGACAAGTGCCTAAAGTTTTAAAAGATGCACACTTTTTAGAACTAGCCAATCTGTCGTCTTCAGATTTAAAAACGTTACAAAAACTGATTCAATATTTCAGCTTTTCCTCAAAGAATGCTGACAAGAGGTCCTGTTGAGGAAACATTATTGTATGCAGTACTGTAATATAACTACTGTATACAGTAATATAAATATACAATATATTTACATTACTTAGACTACTAATAACTGCAAATAATAAGAGTTTTATAAAGGCACTAAAATCACCCCTGCTTTCAGCTGGCTCCTAGCCACAAATTCTGGGCAGCGGCCAGTCACTGCATCATCATAGCAAAGCTGGGTCACTGGGGCTTAGCAGAGCCCACACCAGCCAGCTGATGGGCAGTGATGGGCACTTTTAAAAATTTCTGGTATCTGGTATAGTGCTTGCATCAGATAGCAGAAATTGCTTTCAGTGAATTGATTCCACATCGTGATTAAATAAATGGACCTTTGGTGGAGAAGCAAAAAAACTTTGCTGCTGTTGAAAATAAAACAACCCCCTTTCAAATTAATCTGCACCTGCACATTCCTCATGTAACCATCCAAATTTAAATCAACCTAAAACACACTGATCCCAATTTAGAAGAGGGGTGTTAAGTAATGGGATAGACCAGTAAGTCGGAAGCCGCCACCACATCATGTGACAACAAACACTGTATTTTAACCATTTTCTGTGTGAACTCCACTGGCAATCTAGCAACAATTATTTAGTATTAAATGTTCCCCTCTCCTGATCCTGAGGTAGCCAAAGGCTTCACCAAGGCAAAACGAAGCCCAAGGGAACCTTGCAACCTGAAAAGGAAGCTTTCTCCAGAGCCCAATCCAGGTTACGCTAGTGTAAATCGACAGCAACAGAATGTTGCCGTCAGGCAATGAAAAATATACCTTAACAAAATCTACAGCAACAGAATGTTGCCCATTGTTCTACCCCATTACCACAACACTGCTCGCCATCCCTGAGCTGTAACTGACATTATAAGGTCATAGGTACAGCAAGAAACGACACAGGTGAGTGAAATGGCTTTGTGGTACAATTAGATAATTTTAGCCTCTGCAGTTAATAGTTTAACAGAAGTGAGGGAGGCTTATTTTGATTTTTAAAAAATTGGTATTCCTCTTGCACATCCTTCAAAATATGGTAATTCAGCTGTACCATGGCTGGGGGCCATCCTACTGAAAGGGGCCTTGGATGTCTCCCCAACCTTGTGCTACAGAAGCACCGCTAGACTGCCAACCAATGAAACAGTCCTCAAAAGACCTTTCAGCCTGCGCTAGTTCTAACAGGAAGAAGGAGTGAGTGTTCATTCATCAAAAAATCAGGTGAGCTGCTCTGAATGAGCCACCTTTAAGCACAGGATAAAACAGAAAAATGTAGAGAGGACTTCTCCTCCAGGAGAAGGCTGGCCTTCTGTGACACAAAATGAACTACAGTAGGTGTGCCTCAGGCAGCAGGTTGGGGGGTGGCGCATAAAAGAAAACCAAACTGTTAGTTTTTTTTTTAACTTGTTACTTCCCTTACCAGGGATGCTATGCCTCATGTTCCAAAATAATTTGGCTCATTTGGGGTATTGTGCACATTGCACATACAACAACATCCACATACTGCTCCTCTTTACACGGGAAAATGGTTGGGGCTGGCCCTGCCCTTCACGGTGCAGATAGTCAATAAGATACAGGGAAACTTCTTCCCTACTCAGCAAACCAACAGGCCAAAGTGATTATTGCAATCCTGTAAAGGTCGAATCCAGAATCTGGTCCTCTGAGTTAAATGGGAGTTATTCCCAGTTCAACTTAATATCTAGGACAACAGACCTAGCTGCTTTTCTAAAGAGCACAGCTCCGCCTGGCACAACTTAAAACGAGTAAATTTGCTGATTTCCTTTGAGGCTCTGCAGTCAGACAGAACGACGACTGATTTCCCAGTCGGGAGCCTTTGCATGAAAGGGACAAAAGGCGGCAGCGAGTCTGTGGGGAACTACAAAATATAAAATTGAAAAAAAGACAAGAGAGCGAGACAGCGTCGGGTGACAGGTAGCCCCGGCGCGTAAATCGGATCAAACCGATGTGTGGGGTTCATTTCTAAGTGAAAGCTGCTTCTCCTCAATGCAAAACTAACCCGAACGGTCTTATTTCAATGGCGCGTGACCGTGGGTGTAACGTGTGAATGAAGTCCTCTCGCAAAAGGACGCGCACGTGGAAAGACGCGATCACTTCATACAAGAAGAGTCGACAAAGGAGAGATGCCAAACTGGCAGGAGCCAGAGACGCTGCTCTCTGATCGGCGCGAACCCAGCCGGAAGAGTGGACCGGAGGTGGGTGGAAAGCAGCCGAGAGTTCCCTCGGCGCCGATTTTGCAAGTCCCGATCCTGGCAAGTCTTCACTTTCGCAGACCCTCGTTGGAGACCCAACAGCTGCGGCTGAATTCGCCTTCCGTTTCCTCGGGCAAAAACGCCGGCTGGGGCTCCTCTTATTGAGGGATCTCCCTTACCCCCCCCCCAATTCCAGCAAAGAAGTAACTTACCGGACGTTTGCACCTCAGGTCCGTGTCCTCCTTTGGCCCCTTTATGGCGAGGGCTGGACGCCCTCGCCCTCATCTGCCCCACCACCGCCAGCTCCATCTCCCACTGACACTCCGCGCGGTACCTCTCCACCGCCTCTTCCATTTTCAGGTGAAAAGCCAAGCCTCTCGCAGCCATCTTTACGTGGGTGGGTGTCTCCTGCACAACAGGGAAGTCCCGAGCAGGCAGGCAGGCAGGCAGGGAGGCGGGCAAAGGCACGCCTGGGGAGCAGCCGGGCGCCCTTCCCCTCCCGGAGCATGTGCAGAATCTTGATTTTCCTGTGGACGTGTTGGGAAAGAGCAGTTCGAGCCTCTTTAGCTACTGGGCAGCTGTTTAACTACAGAAACACACACACGAGAGATCCAGATGTGTGCCAGTCAGCAACTGAGGAAAACCAGCCACGAAGTGCCATCCAGGGGACAGGGACTGGCCAAGGGCTGACCCGGGTGGGCTTCATGAGTTGCAGTGGGGAGGCAGCTTGGGGCAAGGGGGTGGGACTCGACGACCCCTTGCTTGAAACATGCCTCATGACATGTTTTACGTTGTTATGTGTGGTCGAAGTTGGCTCTGACTTACGGCGACCCCCCAAAAATGTGTGACCTCTCATTAGCAGTCCTGCTCAGCTCTTGCAACATACAAAGCTGAGTTTCCTTTCTGGAGTCAGTGCATTTATCTATTGCATTGCCTCTTTGTCTTTTCCCCAGTTCCTTCAACTTTTCCGAGCACTGTTGCCTTTTCCAGAGAGTCTTCTCTTCTTGTTATGTGGGACAACCTCTGTTTTGTCATATTTGTTGCTATTGTTGTTCTAATGTTTTATGGTTGGTCCCTTCGGATGTTCTTGGATTGCAACCTGCCTTTATTTTCCCCATTTGTTATGCTGGCTAGGGGTGAAGGAAGTTGCAGTCCACAACAGCTGGTCCCCATCTGTTGGATCAGCTGCATCTTAGGCCAGCTTTGCTCTAGGACACTAGATCTGTTCAAATATTACAAAGGCTGTCATACCGAGGAGGGGCAAGATCTGTTCTCGATCATCCCAGAGTGCAGGACACACAACAATGGGCTCAAATTAAAGGAAGCCAGATTTCTGCTGAATATCAGGGAAAACTTCCTAACTGTTAGAGCAGTACAACAGGTTGGTGAGTGCTCCAACACTGGAGGCGTTCCAGAAAAACTTAAACACCTGATTGAGTGCTCCAACACTGGAGGCCTTCCAGAAAAACTTAAACACCTGGTAGATATGCTTTGATTGTACTCATGCATTGAGCAGGGGGGTTGGACTTGATGGCCTTGTAGGCCCCTTCCAACTTCACTTTTTATGATTCTATGGAACCATGATCAGAGCGGTGTGTATGCCTCACCCTGAAGTTTTTGGGTGAGGCTTGCTCTGTTTCAATGGCACACAGCTTTTTTGCCAAAGGAGGTCTTCCTCCTCTGTCCTTGGACAGGAATATTTAGTCTCAAGCCATGACATGAAGATTCAGATTTTTATTTTACCATTTTCTCTGCCATGGGAATATAACCAAGGGGTAGATCTCGACGGGCAGACACACTTCTGCTCGGTACTCTACCACATCCTGAAACCAAGGCAGAATTCAGCTTTCTTTTCCACGAACAAAACTTCCACATTTCCTTCCCTCCTACAGTGATGTCTCGTTGGTTACTTCACCCCTACCAAGCAGTAGTGCAATGGAACAAAAATTCACATAATTAAAGCCTCCTAGACTTTTTCAGTCGCAGTGGCATGCCAGCCTCAGTTACTCCTCCTACAACTTCTTTGTTTTCCCACAGCTACAGTATTAGCTGGGAGAAAAATGAATTTTCTCAGGAGTAGTATATTTTTTGAGTAGGCCCCCTGTTGTCGTAGAGCATGCTAAAGCAGCTTGATCTTGAATGGGTGATTAACACTCCTTAGCGTTGCAAAATATCTGCTCCTGGAAGAAACAAAAACTGCTATAACTCACTTGTGAATATCAGTTCGACCTTGGTTTTGGATTCTCCTTGGAGGTAGCCTGGCTAAAGCGACTGTCATTATGAGCATCTTTGCTTCCAAATGTACCACTACACTACTGCGTTCCAACCTGCAGCTCTTAGCAAATGCTTTCTGGAGTGCAGTAAGGGACACTTTGCAACAAAGCCTTTTTTTTGCGCTGGCCCCCAGTGGCTGAAACCCTGTTGTGTAAGGTATGGTGTCAGGTAATTTTTTAAAGAAATTAAACTTATTTTTACTTTCTCCCCAGATGCTCCCAAAGATCTTGTGGAATTCCATTCATTGTTGGGAAGTGGTTGGGGCCACTGCATGGAGGGGGAAGTCTTAAATTATGGAAATGCTTCCTAATTATGAAAGGATTCTAGGAGAGCCTTAGGATTTTTAGAGGAGAAATTGAAAATAATAATTTCTGAAACAACACCACAGTTGATGACATCACCAACCTTACACAGCATAACTGACTGCAACAGAATTTCAGTCAGTATGTGGAATTCCCTGTCACAGAACATCAGGCAATCTTTGCTAGCACCAATCTCTTTTGGGGGAAAACATGCTTTCTCTACACAGCCTTGGCCAAGATTTGGGACACAAACTTGTGGTTCTTTAGTTGTGTGGATTTTGTTCTACCCTGGCTTTCTTGCCAGGTATGTTTTTCTTATTCCGAACGTGAAGTGAAATGAAATATAATAAAATGAAAGGGTGATTTTTTAAAAGTCAGATGTACGGTATTTGTTGTTGTTTTTAGAACTCACCAACAAAGACGTCTGGGAAAATAAAAAAGCAGGGATCCACAACCTCTGGCCTATCAACTGAACTACAATTCCCATTATCCATTGACACTGCCAGTGGTACCAACAGCATCAGCGCTAGTAATTATATGAAGGTGAGATTTATTCATTTCTCTCCTGCTGAAGTCCTGAGGAAAACTCCCTCCTTTGAGAGGAAACGCCATCTTGATGCCAAATGTGTGAAGTTCCCCGCCTAAAATGAACAACAGCTCCCAAGGAGAGATCCTGAAAAATAGAGCAGCAGAGGAAAGTGTTACTTCACTTTTCTCTCCTCCCTCTGTAATCCTGGTAATTATTAATTTCCAAAGAATTAGCCCTCTTTAGTCTGCTGTCCTAAAAAACAAGGAGGAGCCATATGACACTATAAAGAGACAATAAACATTTTAAAATACTTATTTAGTTATATCAACTTTCCTAATTAAGAGTGGGATTTATTTTAGGTCGAAGTTCAGGTCGCGCCATGGTACAGAAATGGCATTGGTATGATGACTTGCTCGACATTTTAAAATACTTATTTAGTTATATCAACTTTCCTAATTAAGAGTGGGATTTATTTTAGGTCTGGAAACTGAAAAACTGTGTATGCCCTGAAATGAACAACAGAGGGGTTGCTTTACCATTTTTAGCATCAGCCACTGAGTCACTTTGTGAGTCCTTTCATGCCCTCCCTCTGGAAAGAACAGCCAAAAACCTGCAGTATTTCATTGAACTGTCAAAGACCCAGGCTGTGCTATGATCACTGTATCTTTGTGTACAATTCATCGTCAGCTGCTCTTTCAAGCCAGTCTGGGGTGAGCAAGTTAGCAGACTTAATAATTAAAAACACAGCAGGAAGATCTGCACGAAGAAAGAAAAAACAGAAGCAACTGAGTGCTTATGCATACACAGAGTGCCTTTGCACAGTTAAAACTAGTGTGCCAGCTGCACCTATTTCTTGAGAAGTCTGATCCTGGCCATGGTGATTCATGCCCTAGTTAAATCTCAGCTGGATTACTGTAACACGCTCTACGTGGGGCTGCATTTGCAATGTTTGGAAACCCCAAAGGGTCCAAAATGCTGCAGCCACACTGTTAACTGGGGCTGGTTACAGGGAACATATAACCACTCCTCTGTTACAGCAGCTCCACTTGCTGCCCACCAATTTCCAGGCACAGTTCAAGGTGCTGGTTTTAACTTATAAAGCCTTAAACAGCTTGGGTCCAAGCTATCTAAAAGACTGTACCTCCCTCTATGATCCTGCTCAGGCATTAAGATCATCAGGGGAGGCCTTTCTCTCCTCCCACCACCCTCACAGGTGCGCTTGATGGGGAGACAGGAGAGGGCCTTCTCTGTTGCTGCTCCCAAACCCTGGAACTCCCTCCCACAGAAGGCTAGGCTGGCCCCATCTTTGCTGTCCTTCTTCAAGCAGGAAAGACCTTTCTGTTCAGGCAGACTTTTCCTTAATGACTGGTGGTCTGAAAGTGATTTTTAAATAGATTGTTGTGCTCTGTTGTTTAAAATGTGTTTCCATATTGGTTTTATTTACCATTTTAACACAGAATGGGCCACAGCAATAATTAATGGGTCTTTCCTTGAGGGCAGGGTTCCTTCTGCCCTCAAGGAGACACTCATTAGGCCCATAAGGAAGAGACCTAGTTTGGTGGCGGACGAAATTGGCAATTATAGGCCCGTCATCAATGTTTCTTTCATTAGCAAGGTGGTGGAGAGAGTGGTGGCCGATCAGCTTCAGGCGCCATTGGATGAGACAGATGCCCTGGATCCGTTCCAGTTGGGCTTCAGGTCGCGCCATGGTACAGAAACGGCATTGGTCGCCCTGTATGATGACCTGCTCAGGGAGGCTGACAGGGGCAAAACATCTGTTTTGGTCCTCCTTGACATCTCAGCGGCCTTCAATACAGTCAACCATGGTATCCTCCTGAGGAGGCTCTCCGAGTTGGGAATTGGTGGCCACGCGTTTGTGTGGCCCCGATTCTTCCTTGGGAACCGTCCTCAAAGAGTACAGCTTGCGGAGAGGTTATTGGCCCATGGACTCTCAATTGTGGGGTTCCGCAGGGTTCAGTCATCTCCCCAGTGCTATTTAATATCTACATGAGGCCGCTGGGTGCAGTCATCAGGGGGTGTGGGGCATCATGTCATCTGTATGCTGATGACACTCAGCTCGACAGCTCTTTTTCTCCAACTGCAGTGGATGCCGTTCTGTCCCTTCAGCGCTGCTTGGAGTCTGTGCTGCAATGGATGCAGGAAAATGGGCTGAGGCTGAACCCGGACAAGACGGAGGTCTGAGTGTTGATGGCCCCACTATCAGTGGTCTGGGAAACTCTCTCTCATTTGGGGGAGTGACTCTTACCACAAAGAGTGAAGTTCACACCTTGGGGATCCATCTGGACCCTGCGTTCACATGGAAACTCAGGTGGTGTCGGTGGTCCGTAACGCCTTTTTTCATCTTTGGCGAATAGCCCAGCTGCATCCCTATCTTGATGTTGGGGCGCTCACCACCTTGGTACATGCACTTGTAATCTCGAGATTAGACCACTGTAATGCGCTCTACATGGGGCTGCCTTTGAGGTTGATGCGGAAACGTCAAGTGGTGCAGAACATGGCGGCCAGACTCCTTAGTGGAGTGAGGAAATATCAGCATATCTCTCCCACTCTGGCCACTTTGCATTGGCTGCTCATACGCTTCCGCATTGACTCCAAAGTTTTAATGCTTACATATAAAGCCCTAAACGGTTTAGGGCAGTGGTGTCGAACTGTGGCCCTCCAGATGTTCTTGGACTTCAACTCCCAGAAGCCTTCACCACCACCTCTGCTGGCCAGGATTTCTGGTAGTTGAAGGCCAAGAACATGTGGGATTTTCAATGCATTCCTATGGGAAATGCAGATTCAACTTAAGAACTTTTCGACCTGAGAACTGCCTTCCAATACAGATTAAGTTCGTAAGTCGAGACCCCACTGTAATGGTTCAGTGATATGCATCTCTAACTCAGAAGTGAATTCCACTGATTTGAGCCAAGTTTATTCCCAGATCAGTGCAATGTGGCCCTCCTTCAAATGCAAGGTGTGCTGCTTATATACCACTCTATAGCACTTAAAGCATCTGGGTGGTTTACAATTTAATTATACAGTTTATACTTTGCCCTCCCCTACAGCAAACTCGGTGCTCAATTTACCGAACTCAGAAGGCCGAATCTAACTTGAGTTGGCTATCTGAACCTGTCAAGATCAAATTCTGGCCATGAGCAGAGGTCTAACTGCAGTTTAATCACTGTGCCACAGGGCTCCAGTATTGGGCCTTGGCTCCAATATTGGGCTGTGGCTCCATAATCCTTCCCCATGGTTTCACTGGCTACTGAAGGACTACAGTTCTTCACAGAGCACGCCAGGCCCTCCTATCCTCCACTGCCTTCTGGAGTTGTGTCAAATTCATGTTGGTTGCTTCGCAGACACTGTCCAGCCATCTCATCCTCCGTCATCCCCTTCTCCTCTTTCCTTCACACTTTCCTAACATCAGGGTCTTTTCCATCTCTCATGAGATGGCCAAAGTATCGGAGCCTCAGCTTCAGGATCTGTCCTTCCAGTGAGCACTCAGGGTTGATTTCCTTTAGAACTGATAGGTTTGTTCTCCTTGCAGACCAGGGGACTTTCAAGAGCCTCCTCCAGCACCACAATTCAGAGGCATCAATTCTTCGGCGGTCAGCTTTCTTTACGGTCCAGCTCTCACTTCCATAGGTCACAACAGGAAAAACCATAGCTTGGACTATTCGGACTTTTGTTGGCAAGGTGGTTTACAATTGCTTTTTATTTTTACAAAAGTGAAGGTTGGGGTGTTACAGGTTTACAAGTAATTTACAAAATGTTGGAAAGAGTTAATAAAACGTGAGTAAAGACTCCAGTCAAAATGTTACACAAAAGAACTAAACACGGTTGCAGCAAGTTAAGAATTTAAAAATCCAGCAGTCAAAATTAAACATCTTGCAAATCCTAGATAAAAAAAGAGAGAGAATTTTCCGCTGCTCCATTACTTCCACCATCTCATAACGACCTCACATTCTACACGGAACGATTGAATTAACTTCTCAGGGGACGATCTACAATTGAGTGAAAGCAAGCTAAGCGTATCAGCGTAAAGCGGAGCAGGAAAAAAAAAGAAGACCCGCCCATTGAGAATCATCTCGGAAACGAAAGAAGCCACGTCATTAGACAACAGGGAGGGGCGGGGTTACGAAACTTGCTGGGCGTGGCACCTCACCAGAGCGCGCCTCCCCTTTTCTCCCTAGGCGTGTGAGGCTTTTCTTCGTCCCTATACGTCGAACTTCAGGGCAGTTGGCCAATAGCCGGGGAGGGGGCGTGGCAGGATGCTCGCGCGAAAGGTTCAGAGGGTGATTCTAGCCGTGGGGGATGGTGGCCGAGTGGGTTCAGTTTCTTTAGTGTCGCTGCCCGCCCCCCTGCGCTTAAGAGATGCTGTCACGTTTAGTATCAGCTGGGATCGTTGATTAGTAGGGTGAGGGGCGTGACTGCGGTGCGGGACGGAGGCGGCAGCGAGGATTACCGGTTTTCTGTGTATGTTTCTTTCCCTTTCCTTCCCATGATAGTAGGCTTGTTGTTTGGCTGCCCGTTTGCCAGTGCGGACGGCTCCTTGGACTTGGTTTCGTCGAGGAAGGGAGGTTGATCTTTGCAATAATATTAAGGCTATAATTCCGTACTGTTGAACTTAATGGGAATTTTGAACAACCACAAACAGGATTCTGGCTCTGTAAGCTGCACCTTTTCTATCCAATAGCGTTTTTAAAAGAAAACAAGGTGCTGGAGGGGAAAAAAATCTCCATTGTTTTCCAGAGTGGGAGGAAATATATTTAAAATTCTCCGAAGCTGTTCTTTATTTAAATGCTTCTATCCCATTCTCTATTCAAAGGATTCAGGTTTATGTGGTTTTAGCTCTTCTGATTTTCGGCCTCCCACAAAAAAAAAACTTTTAAAGCTTGCAAGTTTTTTTTTCAAAATTCTTGTAATGCAAACAAAATATTGTACAAATCGGTTGCGCTTTATACTGCCCTTTTGTACTGTTTCATCTTAAAATAAGGTAAGGGGCATTGAGTAGACATTTTACTCTGAAAAAACTGAATAATAAATATTTACATTAGTACAAAATAAGTTCCAAATTGAGGCTCATATGGAATTAAAGATTAAAATGACAACACTTTCTAGTTTATTTCCTAACTTTGTTATATTTGTATATCCTATGTTTTCCAACAGCTGTTGTAAATTCTTTTGAAATCATCAGTAGAAAGGCAGAATTCAAACTAAACATCAACTTATAGGTCATGTAAATATGCAATATAAATGTGCATATAGCTAGCAGTCTAATCTGAAACAAGGTTAGTGAGAGAATTTTCTAGGCAGTTTGCTGATCTGTCTTAAAGAAACTTTTAAAAATTCTTTCCCTGCCCTATCAAGTAGCAAGTGTTCAAATCTTTAGCTAATATTTGCTTTTCATTTAATCATTGTTAAACTTTGGTAAAAATATTTTGGAGTGTTTGCCCTTTTTCATTCTAAACATTTTGATATTATTGTTCCAGCTTTTCCTAAGATCAGTGCCAGATTACCTTATTGGCCAGAGCTGAAGAAGTAGGTAAGTAAATAAACTGTACATGTAATGTTTTCTGTTTTTTTATCAGAGGGGGTGAGAGTCACTTACTTCAGCTCAAAGAAAATGGTGTTGCATGTAATCAAAAGACTCCCAAGAGTTTGTGCTACCAAGTTTAGAGGTTTGTTGATATATCTTACAGGATTACAAATCTAAGCCCAAGTAAATAAATATGGCAAATAGAAGTGTCTGGCATGTGTTAAGCAGTCTGTATGGTTAAGGGTGTGAAACTTTTAGCTCTCCAGACTTTTTGGCCTAGAATTCTCATCAGCCAGACCTATCATGGTAATGTGTTATGGGAGTTGTAGTTCAAAGAATTTAGAGGGCCAAATGTATTCTTGTTGTAGGTGTGCTTTAACGCCTGCATAAAATTTTTCCTCACTGTGTGAAAATGACTAAAAAGGTATTAACTCCTACATTCACTAGCCAGTTTTCTTGGCAGTTTAGATCAGACATGAATGATAGTGTTATTCTAGCCAAGTATTAATGATCAGAAGGAGAATTCTCTTTCTGGACACAGATGCGCTATATAACAGCTGCTGTGCATATACTCATAAAAATGTGATTGGACAGGTAAAGCTGAAAGGGAAAAAAACAAGCTGGGCTGCCTGTGAATGTTGTGCTGTAACAACTTTAATCAAATATACATGTAATGTATATTTGATTAAAGTCAAAATAAATTACTTGGTCAGACTTCAAAACATGAGAAAATACACATTGTTATTATGTTATTATGTTATCTTAATAAAGGCAAATGTTAAAACTTTGTTAAACTGAGACATATGTTCAAAACAGAACATCCAATTTCCATCTTGATGGCAGTCATTTTTCACCCCCACCAGCTACTTAGTTAAAGCTGATTGTCAATCCAATCTTTAGTTACTAATGGTTTCTTCCCTACTGAAATAAGTGGAGATCAAGAATATGTGGCGATGTAATCATAGCATGGATTGCAACCAGCTGTTTTAAAATAAAGGTTATAAACAGAAATGATGGTGACAGTCATCCCACCCAGGTACAAAAAACAGCATAGTTAAAATGTGAAGTTTATTTCTGGGTTGTTGTATCACTTAAGTACCAACTTTGCCTTCATATTTGAGAGCAACAGCCGGGTGCAGCTTCATTGTTGAACAATGAATAGATTCCTTCAAAAATATTTGATATGATTCCACATTATATTTAAATATAATGTGAATGTTTAGTTCTATGCTTGTTACTACACTGCAGATGTCATGCTTTAAGACAAAATGTTCTTTCCTTTCTAGAAACATGACTATTATGAGAAATCTGAGGATTGATAGCATATATTTTCTTGGCTGGCTAGTCCTTGCCTCCTCCATTTGTTTTGCTGACCAGCACCACCCTGGTGGAGGACATCAAGCCAATGCACGCCTTGATAAGAACATGGTGCAAGATAAGGAGTATGTGTTCTGTAAATTTACATTTGATATAAATGTTGGGTTTTTTTATTATGAATTTTTCTGATACATGTACATTTCACTTCATCAGTGCAAAGCAAGAGTGAATGGCAGGTGATCCACAGGGTCATGAATTATTCTGCAAATTACAGTGGGCAAATCCTCTGCAGAGTAAGTTGCAGTTAGAGTACACCCCTTTGAATCAGTGGAACCTACAGAGAAAGTGACACACTAAATCCCTATTGATTCAGTGGACCTACTCTAATTTGATTTACTATGCTAACTTACTGGATTTGGGCCCTGTAATGTTTAGAAAAGAGTAAGTGCAGTATCGTGGATAGTGTTAGACTAGGCTTTAGGAGACCTGGGTTCAGATCCTTCCTCAGCCACAGAACTCATTGGGGGTTGCCAATCGCAAAGCACTCCTTGAACATCTGGGATATCTTGATCATTAAGTTAGGGCCTCCATAAACGAGAAGCACATACCAACAGCAAATGTTTAGAACCGCTAATTTTTTTTATTTACCCTTAAGTTGTGTACAAAGCCTACAGGGACAAATGTGAGTCAATATTAAGTGTTGATTACATGACTTGATTATTTCAGCAACCTAATTTAAGTGGTTAAAAACAAATTTCTTACTGTTAATAAACAGGTCATTGTTAAAAACCCTTTTTGAGTCACAGCAAGCAAATCCTCTGCAGAGTAAGTTGCAGTTAGAGTACACCCCTTTGAATCAGTGGAACCTACAGAGAAAGTGACACACTAAATCCCTATTGATTCAGTGGACCTACTCTAATTTGATTTACTATGCTAACTTACTGGATTTGGGCCCTGTAATGTTTAGAAAAGAGTAAGTGCAGTATAGTGGATAATGTTAGACTAGGCTTTAGGAGACCTGGGTTCAGATCCTTCCTCAGCCACAGAACTCATTGGGGGTTGCCAATCGCAAAGCACTCCTTGAACATCTGGGATATCTTGATCATTAAGTTAGGGCCTTCATAAACGACAAGCAGCTTGACAGCACATACCAACAGCAAATGTTTAGAACCGCTAATTTTTTTTATTTACCCTTAAGTTGTGTACAAAGCCTACAGGGACAAATGTGAGTCAATATTAAGTGTTGATTACATGACTTGATTATTTCAGCAACCTAATTTAAGTAGGTAAAAACAAATTTCTTACTGTTAATAAACAGGTCATTGTTAAAAACCCTTTTTGAGTCACAGCAAAATTTTTTTTATTTACCCTTAAGTTGTGTACAAAGCCTACAGGGACAAATGTGAGTCAATATTAAGTGTTGATTACATGACTTGATTATTTCAGCAACCTAATTTAAGTGGTTAAAAACAAATTTCTTACTGTTAATAAACAGGTCATTGTTAAAAACCCTTTTTGAGTCACAGCAAATAACTTGGGGGATTTAGCAGTAGGTTCTGGTCTGCCTCCTCTCTGTTGCAAAGCATGCAAATGCAAGTAGATAAATAGGGACCAGCTCGGTGGGAAGGTAACAGCGTTCCGTGTCTAAGTCGCACTGGCCATGTGACCACGGAAGATTGTCTTCAGACAAACGCTGGCTCTATGGCTTGGAAATGGGGATGAGCACCGCCCCCAAGAGTCGAACACGACTCTACAAAAATTGTCAAGGGGAACCTTTACCTAATTTAAGTGGTTAAAACAAATTTCTTACTATTAATAAACAGGTCATTGTTAAAACCCCTTTTTGAGTCACAGCAAATAACGTGGGGGATTTAGCAGTAGGTTCTGGTCTGCCTCCTCTCTGTTGCAACTGGATGATTCTTAATGGGATCCAGCAAAGCAATTTTTAGCAAGTGTATTCAAATTCAGGGTTAGAGCTCAGTCTAGTTCAGTGACTGCATTAAAGAAAAGCTACCTCTAGTTTAGAAATCAGATTTGTTCTAGGACGTAAGCTAGTTTCATATCTGGAACAATAATATCTAGATTAAGATGCAGCTAGGTCTCCGGTATAAAAGCAACTATTCTTTTAGTTTTTCCTAGATCATTTTTTAGAGTTGGGCCACAAATGCCATTTACTTATTGTCTGGCAAGCTCCTTTGTGAAGTGTTTGGGCTAAAATGAAGTTAATTGCTCTGAATGCAGTTAATGATGCACGCAATTTGTTATGGTAATAACAACCACAAGGAAAACAATGGTGTGCTGTATTGCTCTCACTGGTTTGGAGAACTGTTTGGAAAAAAATGCTCTAATTCTGATTTTCACCTCTTTGTTCTAAGCCCTTCTGCCTTCAGTCTTTCACCAGCTGCGTGAGCTTACAGGCCAAACCCTTCTTTTACCTTTGGCCTAGAGAAAAAGATTTACTCAGTCAAGCATGCATTCATCCATTTATCTGAGCTTGCTTGTCACCCCCCAGTGACCTCTGAATACAATTAGGAAGTTAATGTGTCTGTTAAATGTCCCTTAACCACTGTTAAGACCATCACTACTGGATCAGTAAAAAGTTACAAATGAAATAAACTTCTGAGTTCTCAGCAGCTGTTTGACAGGTAAAGATGGTATAAAACTTCAGATAAAAGTAAATAGTTCAAAAATTCCGCCAAGTGTTCTGTCTAAGGCACATGACACCTTACTGCTGATATGGCAAACTAGGACTTTAGATCTCACAGGAAGCAGTGATGACAAAAGAATTCAGTTTGCAGTCTACTCCCCTTTGCAAGGAGAAGACTCCTTGGAAAAGACCTTGATGTTAGGAAAGTGTGAAGGCAAGAGGAGAAGGGGAGGACAGAGGATGAGATGGTTGGACAGTGTCATCGAAGCTACCAGAATGAATTTGACACTACTCCGGGAGGCAGTGGAAGATAGGAGGGCCTGGCGTGCTCTGGTGTATGGGGTCACGAAGAGTTGGAAAGACTAAACAAGGACCCTTTTGCAGACAAAAGGCTGCCCCCCCCCACAAATCTGCTAGTAACTTTGTGGAGGTCAGACCTTTTTATGAGCTTACAGTAGACAATGTGAAAGACTAGCCAAGTCTTTACAACAGCAGAATAGGAGATTAAATCTTGGTATTCTCCCACCTCAGGCTATGTTTTTTTTAAATAGGTCCCTGGTAATCAAAGAGCTAGTACCATTACTGTAGTTACATTTCACTTTGAAAGTTTATTCCACATGAAACTGTTTAACCTCTAAGGTGCCACAAGAGCCAGTGTGCTGTAGTGCAGTAGTTACCAATCTTAAGTAACCCAGTTGTTCTTGGACTGCAACTCCCAGAAACCCTGGCTAGTACAGGTAATGGTGAAGGCTTCTGGGAGTTGCAAACCAAGAACACCTGGATTACTCAAGGTTGGAACCACTGGTGCAGTGAACAGAATGGCAATCCACATCCAGCCAAAGGTTGTGGATCATGGTTGAGCGGTTGTAGGTTTCCTATTCCTGCCTTAGACTATCTTAGTCTACAGGGTGTGGCTGTGAGTTTTGATAGTTGTTATGATCTTATTTTGCAGCCACATAATGGAACACTTAGAAGGTGTAATTGAGAAACCAGAATCGGAGATGTCGCCACAAGAGCTGCAGCTTCATTACTTCAAAATGCACGATTACGATGGCAACAATTTGCTTGACGGGCTTGAGCTTGCCACTGCAATAACACACGTACATAAAGAGGTGAGTACTGGTTTGTTTGTAGATTAAGTCCGGTGGGCCACTTGGCAGCATCAGGGGGTGAGGGTGAGCTATCTAATGCATGTTCATTCAATATCCTACATTTGTTTTAAAAATAGAAGACCAAAATTATCTTTTCCGAATCAGCTCTCTCAAAGATTTCATCCCCTGCAGAAGTTTAAGCAGGGGATCAAAAAAAATGCAGCCCCTCTTTGAGAAAAGGAGGTCAGATTGAAAATACTGCACTGTAGCTTTTAAATCGGAACCCACCTTCATATCCTGCCTTTCTAGCAAACTTTGTGCATTCCAAAAACAGCCCTGAAGAAGAAAGTATTAAATGGATAATTTTGATTTTTAAGCATCCCCAAACTTACTGCTTTGCTAAAACACCTTCTTTCTTATTCTAGGAAGGAGGTGAGCACGCTCAAGTAATGAAAGAAGATGAACTGATTAGCTTGATAGATGGTGTCCTGCAAGATGATGATAAGAACAATGATGGATACATTGACTATGCTGAGTTTGCCAAGTCACTGGAATAGTATCTCTAATAATTTTTTTTAAAAAATCCTTTCGTTCCTGTGACCCAGTACAATGTGATTGTTTTGAGTGTATAGCCGGGCAAAATACATCCTTCTCTCTGGTTGCTGGACTGGAGCTCCCTTCAGCTCCATATGGCTTAGTAAAGAATGCTGAGAGATTGCTGTCCAGCAATGTCTGGAGGGCTGTAGGTTGCTGACTCCTGGTTTAGTGTATGTTTGTGTAGTCCACCCTCTGAGCTGCAAAATGAAGGGTAGGAAAACGTAATTTGTTGAATCCCTATAGTTCAGGAATATGTTGGAGAACACACAAGGTTACATTTGGAACTATTTCAGGCTCCCATGTCAAGGAACAATGTTGAGCAATATATGTACAATTCTCTTTGTTAGTATATTTTTTGGCAATTGGCCATGACCTGCTTCAGAAAGAGATTGTCAGAGTCACTTAACACCATAAGAGAAATCCAATAAACATGAAAGTGCAGATTACAGTACTGTACTGTGAACTCTGAAATTGCTCCGTTAGAAAGACCATATAATTTAATGTTTCTTCTCTTATTCTAGTTTTTCGAGTTATGAAGTCATTTTTTGCAAATGAAAGCCAAATCTAAGAAAAAAATCCATTCCTTTCAGTGTTTGTTGATGTCACTGAGAAAGCTAAGTAACTAATAATTGAGTCTTCTCATTTAAAATTGATATGAACTTAAAATTGCTTAGATCCTGGCTGTATTTGGTCCTAATTTTTAAGCATACCTGTCTGTCTGTTTTTTGTTTGTTGTCTTGTACAATACTTTACCGCTTTTGTTCTACCCTAAGTTATCCTTTTAAAAGCACCTGTATTTTAAAATCAGGTATATAAGCATTTGGTTAAATCCACTTATTAGCCCCAACTAGAATAGGTGATAGGATCAGTGGCATTGATGGGACAGACAAGTCCCATTCTTTCTATGGATCTTTTCTATTTGAGGGTAACAACGGGGTTTAGCCTTAATGTATTAGTGTTTGTGTTATGCCATTAATACAGTATTTTTCTTCAGAGTTGGTTTTCAGAAAATGGAGGTTAACTATTGCTGTTCAATAAAATCTTTGACAAAATTGTTCCTATATTAGCTAAATTTCATAATCACAGTAAAATGCTGCCTTGTTAAGGTTCTAATTAATATGCCTTGACAAGTGTTCATGGTGTTAGTTATAAGAATACTTTTTTTTTTTATAAAAGTCTTCAAAGAGTGTGTTTAAATACTTGAACAGTCTGAATATGTAAAAGTGGTTCAGAAGCTATATATTGCTTTTGAGTGAGCAACATCTTATAGATCTAAAGTGGTTGGTTAATTCTCCTGATGTTTGCCCTATTGTACAAACCAGAATGGGAAGCATACATTTATTTAATCAAACAGTTATATTCACAAGCAGAAAACCTAAATTCTTTCTGTAAAATGTATAAAAACTTATTTTCTATATTCAGACTATTCTTATAGGACGTGCATTTGTAAAAAAAAGTTTGCTTCCTTTGTTAACAGTGTAATAAAAAAGCTGACTGTACCATGTTCTTTTAATAGCTGGATTATTAGGGAGTTTATAATCATGATTTGTGCAATCATGATTATCCAAATGTATAATTTTTAGAACTTTTATTTATTAAAAAATATGAAAATGAAAAAATACAAACCTAAAAAGATTAGCAACACAAAACAACATAAACAATACAATTAAACAAAATGTGCTTGTCCACACATACAGCATGACCATTTGGAAATATATCCAGTTTTTCCTCCATTTATGGAACTTCATTCCACTTCTGAAACTCCATTGACTCTTGCAAAATTACACAACCCTTCCCCTTTATTAATACAAAATTAATATAATTTCCCCAGATAGTAGTAAAGATATTCTTTTTTTAAAACCCTTCACCAGTTTAATGTTGCACATTAACTTATCCTTAATAGACATATTCCAAACTTCTTTATACCATCCATTTAACTGAAAATCATGCTTTACTTTCCAATTCCTTGTTACCATTAATCTTGCTACTGTTAATAAATTTGAAATTAATTCGTTCATTGTCCAATTCCATTGCTTCTTGTCAAATATTGATAAAAGAGCTTTTTCAGGACACACTTTGTATTTTAATTTACTAATTAAATGTAAATTATTTATCAAATTAAATTATTATTTATTTAATTATTTCATATGTTTCCAGCTGCCAATATTTCTATATATTCTCACATTCCTCTGACAAGTGAAAACAAGTACAGTGGTGCCCCATGTGACTATAATAATCCGTTCCGTAGAAATCGCTGTTTAGCGAAATCATTGTCATGCGAAATCTGTTTCCCCATTGGAATACATTGAAACCCATTTAATGCATTCCAATGGGGAAAATACCTCGTCCTGCGAAGATCACCCATAGGGAAGCCATTTTGCTAGCGCCGATCACCTGTTAAAATGGCTGTCCTGCGAAGCATGGGTCCCGAAAACACAGGGAAGCCGTTTTGCAGAGCCCCCGATCAGCTGTAAAAATCGTCATTTTGTGAACAAACAGTCCGCGAAGCACGGACCAAATCATCGTCCAGCGAAAATCCCCCATTGGAATGACTTTTGCGAATCACTATAGCGGTCGCAAAACCACATCGTCATGCGGATTCGTTTTACGAGGTCGTCGTCTAGTGAGGTATCACTCTACCTGTTTTCTGATGTCCTCTCCAATTTGTAAGCATTTTCAAGCTGCAAGAAACGGGGCTTTCTCTGCTACTGTGTCTCAATTGTGGAATTCAGTCCGAATAGGAAAATGTGTCCACCACTTCTGAGCTTCCAGTGAGCAGCAGAGGTTGCCTTTGATTTATAAAAATAGTTTTTAAAGCTAGTTTTAGTTTTGCTGGTCTACTCTGATTTGATTTATAGCCTGCCTTTCTCCCGGCAGAGGACCCAAGGAAACTTAAAATGAATTTTATAACACAAAGGGTAAAACAATTAAAATACTGTACAATAATATGAATATTTTAAAGTACACCAAACGTATTACTGTAATCACTTTAAAAGTACTAGATAAAACCCCAGTAAATTTAAAACCCATTTAAAGGATTAAAAAAGACCACTCTTCCATTAAAAACCCCTTCTGTAGTTGAAGTTTGCTTATTAAAATATTTTATAAAAGGAAGAAGGCAGAAGGACAGCAGGGGGAAACCAGCCTGATTTCTTGTGGAAGGAAGTTCCACACCTTGAGAACAACCACTGAAAAGACACTCTCTTGTGTGCACATCAAGAATGCTAGCAAAGGTGTTGGTCCTGAGAGACACTTTACCCCAAAAGTTCTTAAATCTGGGAAAGACTTATCTGGAGATATACTGTATGTATTTTTTTAAAAGAGTATTGATTTGGGGTTTTTTTTAAAAAAAAACCCTGCTTTTTAAACTCTTTTAAAAACTTCTTTGTGGCTGTGTGTTTCTTTGAGGGCTCTCATGGGCTGAGAAACAATTCATACTTTAATTAAAAAAATATTTTCTTTAAACCTGGAATGGGTAATCTCTCTCAATATTCAGGGCTCCACTTTCTCATGGACGATGTGAGTGGCTGTGTGCTAGTGGTCGATGCAGATAGCTCATGAATTCAGACCAAGGGCTTTAAGTATGTGATAACTGGGTTGGACTCAACGAGAGGCAAATATTTACTAAATGTGTTTAACAAAAGGATATACAACCATTTTTTACACAGAAACAGGATGGTTTCGGGTTCCTTTTAGCCTGAAGTTATTCAGTGGTGCCCTGCTTGACAACGATAATCCGTTCCAGGAAAATTGCTCTTAAGCGAAATCGTTATCAAGTGGAAAAAAAACCCCATTGAAATGCATTTAAAACCAGTTAATGCGTTCCAATGGGGGAAATACCTCATTGTCCAGTGAAGATCCTCCATAGGGGAAGCCATTTTCAATCACTGTCTTGTGAAAATAGGTCCAGAAAACAGCGGGGAGCCATTTTGCGAATCGTCGATCAGCTCTTTTTAATCGTCGTCTTGAAAACAATCAGTTTGCGAAACAGGGACCTAATCATCATAAAGTGAAAAAACGCATAGGAACTGTCATTTTGTGATCGCTATAGCGATCGCAAAAAACTCGTCAAGCGGGGCACGACTGTACTTCTAGGTTTGCTGAACAGATTGAGGGAAGAATAGCAGCTGAACCCTCAGCACAGGACTGATCAGCTATGGTGCCCACCCGCCCCAGTTTATTTTATTATTCATTATCAGATTTTTATAGCAGCCACCTAGCAAAAGCCTGCTCTGGGCGGTTTGCAGCAATAAATAATAACAAAGCAGACAAATGTAAACAAAAAGCAATTTAACACATGTGATGTAATGCAACTATTATGATTTTTCTGAAGAGTAACTTATGAATAAGGGAAGTACTTTCACATGAGAATACACAATGGTCCAATTTGAATTTGAAATCCAGAAAACTGAGGAGCTGTAAGGAAGAGGTTGGGAATGAATGGCTCTGATCATGTCACTGGACTAGGACTCCCATGAGCCCCTACAGCATCGCCAATGGTAAAATAGCGTGGGAGTTGCAGCAGACAACAACAACTGGAGGGCCTCATGTCCCCCAATATATTCAGTATAAACACAGTACCCTGCGCTTGTCAAATTCTTGCAGCAGAAAATCCCTTAATCTTTCCTGACAAAAGTCACAGCAGTAATAAAACAAGTAGCAAATAGTTGTTGTGGGTTTTTGGGGCTCTTTGGCAGTGTTCTGAAGGTTGTTCTTCCTAACGTTTCGCCAGTCTCTGTGGCTGCCATCTTCAGAGGACAGGAGTAGCACTCCAGTTTTCTGAAGATGCCGGCCACAGAGACAGGCAAAACGTTAGGAAGAACAATCTTCAGATCATGGGCAAAGAGCCGAAAAACCCACAACAACCATTAGATCCTGGCTGTGAAAGCCTTCATGAATACAAGTAGCAAATAGTTTGTCATACTTTCATGACATGCCAAATCGCCGTCTCATTGCCTCATGGCAGGGCTGGAACCTGCCTCTTCGTCATTCCCAGCTGTAACCAAGATTTGGGTGTATGTAGCATCAGTTGTCTGTTTTCTCCCAAATCTTGTATACTACCGCCTCCTCACAGTCTTATTTGGATACGTTGATCAATGCTCCCAGGAACATGTGGGAAGAGTGCTTTGTGATGTAGCACAGAAGGCTGGGCAGATGTGGCCCACCAGCTGCTTTGGGGGGCTCTATAGTTCTCATCAGTCCTTCCAGCATCGCCGATGGTAAGGGACTATGACAGTTACAATCCAAAAACGTCTGGAGGAGCTTAGTGGTGGCCATGTGTTATTTGAATGTAACATATTCTTCTGAGCCAGAGCACTGAATGTCTAAATAGGGCTTGTGAGCAAGGTAGCAGCAGGACTTTCCACTTCCTTTATATTTCACTAGAACACTAGTATTTCCCAGCTGGTACAGTGGTCAGACACTTAGAATTACAGAATTCTGAGCCCAGGAATATGAGAGGACACTCCAGCTTCGCATACAGCATCGAAACACTAGACACTGTTCCAAGTCCTCCATACAGAGCACGTTACCGTAGTCTCTCGAGACTGAAGGATGCCTATGAAATGAATCAGAAGTTAGTGGAGCACACATTCCTATATCACAAAACCCTATTCCTGGTTATCCCAAGCTTGCTTTTATTTTAGCATTTAAGGCAATAGTTCCCAACCTTGGGTTCCCCAGATGTTCTTGGACTACAACTCCCAGAACTTTCATCATTAGCCATGCTGGCTAGGATTTCTGGGAGTTCTAGTCCAAGAACTTCTGGGACCAAAGGCTGGGAACCTCTGATTTAGGGCAAGAGGGGAGATGTTTCGTTGGTGCCTTTACTAATTTTTCCCACTTTGGAACGGTAATACTTCACATAGACTGAACCATTTATAAGACATTAATGGCTATTTCTCCTCTGCATTCTAGTGTGGGCTGGAATATTGCTCACCAGAGAGCAGTCCTGTGTATGTTCCTAGAAGTCATAGAGGAAAGACAAATTACACACACGGTTAAGATTTTGTTGCTTCTTGTAAATAAAACATTTAGCCACTAGATGGCATGTTAGACTGCTTTTGGAACCTTTACGCCTCTTAAATGGGACCTGAATGTGATAATAAAAATACTTTTTCCCCCTTGTAATTCAGAAGGTCCTGGGTTCATCACCTTTTACTATTCCGACAAAGCAAGAGTATATTTCTCTAACTGTAAGCACCTTCAGATTTTATTAGGAAAATGTGCTCTTGAAAGGAAAGGGGCATTTAGAACTCCCTGCAACACATACCCTCTTTCATTAATTTAATAATCCTGTCATTAAGCACACCAGAGTACTTCAAAATCACCTGCCCTTGCCAAGACTAATAGAAGAAGCTAAACGCTTTGTCTGGCATCCAAGCAACTTGAGTTATAACAAGTGAAAGAAACATTTTTTTTAAAAGCATGAGGTAATAGGATTTTTCCCCTTGCTTAAAGACCTTGACTACATTTCCACACCAGCTCCAGCTCCCTGCAT